TTCTTTTGTGTAAAGAAGTAACATGTTGTGTGTGTCTTCCCTTGTGCTGCATATGGTGTGTTTGTGTGCACCAGAAAGTATGGGTGGGCTAAGTATGCTCTGCATCATCTGATCAAGAAGGAGGAAGGAGGGTGTTAGAATGGAAGAGTCAGTAACATTTTAAGCTACTGCCCAATCACCTCTCCCATGGGGATGCCTTGTGGAAATCTTTCCTTGAGTTGTTTTCCCCATTGCCCCAAGTCAGATCTGGGACATTTTCAAACTTGATCTTCCCTTTCCCTTTCCCTTTCCCTTTCCCTTTCCCTTTCCCTTTCCCTTTCCCTTTCCCTTCCCCTTCCCCTTCCCCTTCCCCTTCCCCTTGACATTTTCTCCCCACCCCCTGGCTTTTTTTCTCCAAGGTAGAAAGTTAGATCCTGTTACTTTTAAAGTTTTAAAGCCAGAATATTAGCTCAATACTACATTTAGTGATACTTTAAAAGTTTGTGAACCCTTTTGAGTTTTCAATATTTCTACATCTGTATGACCTAAAATGTGATCTGTTCTCCACACTAGTCCTAAAACTAGATAAAGAGAACCCAATTAAATAAGTAAAAACATTATACTTCTTGATTTATTGAGGAAAATGATCCGAAGCTACATATTTGTGTATGGCAAAAGTGAACCTTTGCTTTTAGTAACTGGTGACCCCCTTGGGCAGCAATAACTGCAACTAAACATTTCCAATAACTGTTGATCACTCTGCATATTGGCTTGGAGGAATTTTAGCCCATTCCTTCTTACAGAACAGCTTCAGCTCAGGAATATTGGTGGGCTTCCTGGCATGAACTGCCTGCTTCAGGTCCTTCCACAACATTTCTATAGGATTAAGGTCTGGACTTTGACTTGGGCATCCCAAAACATTAACCTTCTTCCGCTTTAACCATTCTTTGGTCGTACAACTTGTGTGTTTTGAGTTGTTGCCTTGCTGCATGACCCACTTTCTTTTGAGCTTCAATTCATGGACAGATATCCTGACATTTTCCTGTAGAATTTGCTGGTACAATTCAGAATTCATAGTTCTGTCAATGATAGCAAGCCATCCTGGTCCAGGAACAGCAAAGCAGGCCCAAACCATGATACTGCCACCACTGTGTTTCACAGATGGGATAAGGCTTATGCCTGAATGCAGTATTTGCCTTTCGCCAAACATATGCTTTTCATTCAAACCAAAAATTCTATTTTAGTCTCATCCATCCACAGAACATTCTTCCAATAGCCTTCTGGCTTATCTACATGGTCTTTGACAAACTGTAGATAGCAGTATTCTTTTTGGAGAATAGTGGCTTTCTCCTTGCAACCCCGCTAAGCCCACCATTGTTGTTCTATGTTTTCTTTTTATCATTTTTTATAATAACTTTATTAAATTTTTTAAAAAGAACAGTAAAAACTAACAAAAACTAATATTAAGAAAGAGAAAAGAAAAAAGAATTGGAAAAAGAGAAAATAGTAAAGATCAAAAGTGCAGAAAAGAAAAGAAAAAGAGGAAAACAACAAAAGAAAAAAAAGAATGGACTTCCAACCCTCTCCGCAACAGATATAAGTAACAATATACATAAAACTCTTGCTCTAAATTTACAACATAACTTCCATTATTTCTATTAACCCTTATTATTTCTAATTATCAAACCCAGTCAACGTAATTTCATTTTTTTAATGTATCCTGCAAAAAGTCCAAGTTTTCAGTTAGCACTGAAATTACACATCTTATCTCGAATCAAAGTTAACAATTTCGCCATCTCAGTCAACTCCTTTCCACCTTTATACATATAAAAACCTTACTACTTTTATCATATATAAGAACAAAAATTCCACAAATTTAATAACAAGTACATTTTAACCTTAATGAACTTTATACACAGATCCTTAAAGCATTGTCATTCAATCCTGGTTACAAAAAAATCCCATTAATAACTACCAGAAGCCTCAGCCTATATGTTAACCATAGTCAAATAAATTCACTTTGTAAATCTTCTGTTTACTTTTAAAAAACTTAAACTTTAATCCTTTCAAATAATGTCCCACAAGCTGATTCCCCATCATTCTCTTCTTGTCTTCTCTCAGAAAAATCCCCAATAATTTCTCTTTGTCTTTTCCCAGGAACAGCCTCACCGATTCAACACATTCCTTTTGCAAATCCAAGATAAAAAACCTTTCCAGGTCACTCTTCATTATTTGTATGTCCCCTTTAAACATTGTAACATCAGTTGATTCCATTTGTAAATCCATTCTGGCATCTTTTTCCATATCACTCTTATCCTTTGTCCGTTTTAAATTGATGATCACATCCACAACTTTTTTGTTCATACCACCTTCATAGTCCAACATTTTTGGGGACTCCAATTCCACATTTGAGTCAATCTCCACCTCTTTTTCAATGTTAACCATGTTACCTGCTCTTTCTCTATCTTTTTTTCAAGGGACTTGAATTTAGCTCCTAATTCATCAAACATCGACTGGAGTAAACTTAAAGGAGTTATTTTATCTTCTAAAATAAATGGCTGCTTCAAAGGACCTCTTCTAAGCCATTTTTCCCCCTGAAGCAAACCTCATAGCCATATTCTTTTTATTTATTTTTTCCATTTACACAAGTAGACTGTATAGCCAGATATAATTAATTACAAGCAAAAGTAAACTGACAGTTCATGCCCTCTAGTGTCTTTCAAGCTGTAATTGCAGGCACATGTCAGAGGGAAACATACAGGGATCAAGTTACTGTCTTCTGTTTTAGAAACCCAGCCAATCAACAGACGTAATCCAACAAAACAAAGAAACCTTCCCCTGGAAAAAGCAAACCTCATTACTGCAAATGGAGTTTCATAAAAAAAATAAACTTCTAACAAATACATCTTCCCTTTTCACTGTAAGTAACTTTTAAGTCTCTTTTAAATTCCACTTGTCATCCAGCTTTTTGCGAATTAATCAAATTCAAATTAACGCTGTATTTCTTCTTTTGAAAGTATAGTCCCAAGAAATAAGAATATGCCCCAAGAGAATTACTTATCTGTTGCAAAGGAAGGTCTCTCTTAAGTTGCAAAATAGTTTTATTCCACAGAGTTTAGAAATGAGGTTCAGTCGGTTCTAGTGTTCATAAAAAGGCTGCACCACAGCTTTGAACAAAGATGGATCCCCTGCCTCCCAGCTGGTCGACTCAAAAACCATTTGCAGAAGCTTCTCTCTCTGTGATTAGCTTTCAAGGAATGGCTGTCCAGAGATTATACGGGTCGATTTCCTTGCTTCCTCCTTGATCTGGAGCAAGTCGGGTGGCCAGTGCTTCCTGCCAACCATCAATCCAGCTGTGGTGCTGTCTCCCCTCTCACAGAGAGATGATTAAGCCACCAATGTCCCCACCAGAAATCCCATTGTTCAATGTTTTCCTTATGGTGGTCTCATGAACACTGACATTTGCCAATGCAGGAGAGGCTTTTAGTTCCTTAGACATTACCCTTGGCTTCTTTGAGACCTCCTGGAGTATGACACACCTTGCTTTTGGTGTGATCTTGGTTGATTGACCTCTCCTGGGGAGAATAAACATGGTGTTGAATTACTTCCGTTTGTGCACAGTGGACTGGTCTGCTTAACAGTGGACTGGTGGAGTCCAAACTCTTGGGAAATAATTTTGTAACCCTTTTCAGCCTGTTGAGCATCAACAACTGTTTTTTTGAGGTCCTCAGAAATCTCCTTTATTCAAGCCATGACACACTTCCACATACCTCTTGTAAAGATCAGACTTTGATAGTTAATACCCAGAATTTTGTTCTTTAAATAAGGCAGGACCTCCCACACTCACACCTGATTATTATCCCATTGATTGAAACACCTGATTCTTAATTTCCCCTTCAGATGAAGGGGATAATCCTAGAGGTTTACATACTTTTGCCACACACAAATATGTAGCTTTGGATACTCAACGAATGAGTATAATGTTTGTTTAGTCATTTGTTTAACTGGGTTCTTTATCTAGTTATCTAGTTTTAGGACTTGTGTGGAGAAGAGATCATGATCTGATCTACAGCAATATTAAAAATTCAAAAGGCTCGTTGTGGCTGAAACCTGGCTCACCTAAAGCAACCAAATCACTTTGAAGATACAACATAATTTTATTTGCGTGCATACAGTATATACTGGGCTCCCAGCAAAGGTGAGCAGCCCTGAGCAAAAGCAGAACCAGAGCTTATATACCTTTGTCCCACTACATTGCAAAGACAAGATACAGAAAAAGGCAGACGCTGTGGAAATTTCAGTGTGACATTGGACTGTTTTAGATAAACCCATCTGTGTGACCTTATTAATATTTATCCCTTCCTGCTAGGTCCACATGCTAGCCATACTATCTTTGAGACATGGTTGGAGAATAGAAACAATTTGGTTTACTGGGCCACAGGTTCTTCTGACTGATTGTTCTCCCTGTCACCACTCAGGGTCAATTCAGCTTGCTGTGAATGTTTTCTTACAAGGGCAGTTTCAATAGTTCATATATTTGGGGGCGGGGGGTATCTCAGACATTTGGTAGTGAATACAGCTTACATGTGTATGGGGGGGGTACCTTTTACCACCACAGGGTTCACAAACTTTTAAGCACCACTCTATTTGCAGCCTGTATGCTATTAAAAAATAATAAATACAATAATAATTTAAAATATATAAAATAATATAAATTTGGGGACCCCACTTGTAAAGAATAAGATAAAACAATTGTATAGGATTTATGCATTTTTACTACTTTTTAAGGTAATATTTTTAAACAATGGAAATGTGTTTCATCCTGCTTTAGGATATTTTAAGTATGTTATTGATCTTAATTTTAATGTATAGTTTATTTTTGCAGTATAAAATGCCCTAAGATAAATATTATAAAGAAAGAGCATGTGCAGCTGTATATAATTTTTTTTAAAAAGTTCAGATATAAACTTCTCTAGAGGAAAATATGAACTGATCATTAATATTTATACATTGCCTTTTAGGAGGCTGAATACGGTGGACATGATCAGATAGATCTGTATGACGACGTCATCTCTCCATCTGCCAATAACGGCGATGCACCAGAGGATCGTGATTATATGGACTCTCTTCCACCATCTGTTGGAGATGATGTGGGCAAAGGATCAGCACCAAATGTTGTCTATACATATACAGGAAAAAGAATTGCATTATATATTGGAAATCTTACTTGGGTAAGTGCTTGGTTAGTTACTGCTACATTAGTAATTTATTCTAAGTCTGTAATCAGTTTAACTCAGAATTATTTACTGTACTCTGACCAGTAGAGGCTCTGTAACATTCGTTGGTAAGAGTTCTTCTTATTACTTGACATTTTTTCCATGTGGAGCATGAACTATTACTGAACTATAACTCTGATAGTAACATATTTTCGGGGGTTGGTAATCAGTAGCAGTTAGAAATTTATGTTATGAACTAGCAACTTATTTATTTTTAAAATATGGTTTGCTCAGCTGGGAGTAGGTAATATTGTAACAACTTTCAGGAAGCAAACAGTTACATTTTGATAAAAATATTCTAATATGAAATATAGAAGATATGTTTTGGTGCATATATTTGTGCATTATGTTGAACATTATTTTCACGAAAGGTGTGTTGAGAAAAGAACTGTGCTCCTTTGTTATGTTAAAAAATGTCATTTACAACTGTTTTGCAGTGGACCACAGATGAAGATTTAACTGAAGCAGTTCATTCCCTTGGTGTAAATGATATTTTGGAGATAAAATTTTTTGAAAACCGTGCTAATGGCCAATCTAAGGGGTAAGAATTTGTTTAAATTTGGCACAAATCCCATTTCTTTTTTGAACAAAGGGTGTGCTACAGTATATTTTGTTTATTTTGAAAGACCATGTTGATGGAAGATAGGAAAAGAAATAGGTGGGAAGAAGACCAAAGAACAGAATGAGAAAATTGCAATGATTTCTACAGAATCAGATTACAAACAACAACTGAGACTGAATCTAGAAAAAGTATTTCTGGAAAACTTGAAATATAATTTATGAGGTGGAAGAAAACAGTTCCAGATATAAAAAATAAGTCATGGAATGTGTAGCTATAATAATTGAGAGTTACAGTGGGATATTCTAAGTGGTTGAACATAATTATGTCTATGATTGCACATTGTGCTAAATCATAATGTGGCTTGGTTTAGTATGTTATCCAACTTTTAGGGATCTGTTAAGAATCCTTATCATAAATTTATATTGTCTGTCCTCCTTCAGGTTTGCTCTTGTAGGTGTGGGATCTGAGGCATCTTCCAAAAAGCTGATGGATCTGTTGCCTAAAAGAGAATTGCATGGTCAAAATCCTGTTGTAACTCCTTGTAATAAGCAGTTTCTGAGTCAATTTGAACTGCAATCAAGAAAAAGTAAGAATTGTTCTCTGCTACTTCCTGTGAAATGGAAAAACACTTTTGGGGGAGGTGGGTTAGGAATGATCAATTAACACATTATATATTTGAATGGTTAATAATTTTTATATAATCTGCTGTCTTTCAGTCTGATTTGCTGAAAGTCTATTTTGTTCAAACTACTATTGAAGATTGCTGGAAATAGTATGTTTTGGAAATAAAAGGGAAGCATGTTTCTTTGGTGTTAGTAACAAACTTTTCATAGTGATTTTCAGCATTGCCTATATGTCTCAAAATGATTTTTACAAAGTGTTTTGGATGGTGTACAAAGTCATGGAACCTTTCATTAATTAAGGTGTGCACATTTTTTCCTGACTTTCGCTGTTTTAATGAATTAATTAAATTAAAGCACTGTGTTTTTAATATGACACTTAAAGCAGTGGCATCTTTCTTCAGACTTGTGTGGAAGTCTGAAAAACAGACACTGCTTTAATGAATAGCAAAGAGGTGCTGTACGTGTGCAAGGTCCAAAGCATTTATTCTGAATTATTTTAAACATGTGCACAGTCTTATATTTCATGTTTCCTATTTAAAAAAAAAAAGACAGATAACTTGAATGCCTATACATTTGAAATACACTCTGTCTTATCCTTACTGGTGCTGTAAAATTAGTTAAGGATTTAGAATTGTTATTCTTAACATATTTTCTTCAACATTATATGGGATTAATCTACATAATTCTCAGTTAAATAAGTATCCCAACTAGAGGTAGATTAATTTGAAGTCTGTATGGTGCAAATCATTTGGAGCATTTAGCAGATATTCTAGATAGAATCACATTGAATTGATGGAGATGACAGGATATGGTTAGTTACTATAATCAAGACATCTTAATTGTCATTGGAGTCCTGTTTGTGAAGGCAGTAAGCAGGAATTGCTTCTGAAGACTGATTTTTTTGTTATCTGATACTTAAGTCCATACATTGTTGCTTAGGAAATATTCACTTTGAGCAACCTTGAAAGAGGATTTATTAAGTATTTTTCTACTTCTATTTTCTCGTGTTATTTATTTTTGTTTTGTGCTGCCCCACACCTAAACTCCCATTGGTAAGGAAGAAGGTGGTGGTTCACATATTCATGATTTTTACAATTGAGTTTGAACTGTGTTTTTTTTTTTTAACTAATTTACTTCTACATTGTAATAGTAAGGCTCAAGAATGTGCACTGTGTAACTCTTTAAATTAAGTAATAGTTTACTTGCATGGGTAAGTTGCTTTGCTCCCCAAAGGTATATTTTACTGCCTGTCTTATAGAACATAACTGCAGTTCCACAGAATTATACCAAAAGCTGTTTAGGTAAAGGTTTCAGGCACCTGAAGCTTACTAAGCATTTAATAATTTAGCGTATTCCGTTATTTAATCCAAAAAGTGGTTATCAAGATAAATATCATGAGCAAAGATGGTGAAGATTTCCATTGGATGTGCTTTGTGATTTTTATTTACAAAAATGCTTTTTAGAGCTTACTGAAGAAATAATAAAGACCATCATATCAGAAATTAAGCAACTGTTTATTCAGGGATTTGGGGATTGCTTTTTCAAAGCTCAAAGCTATGGAGTATCTCATGGGTCGTCCGGGGGGAGGGGAACAAACCCTGAAATCTCCCTGGGTGCACTTAACTCCTTGACCATATGTATAGTAACTTGAATTCTTGCCAAATTATTTTAAGTTCTTAAACTCTAGTAGATAGGAAAAGAACTAGAGAATGGCAAATTCTTTTTTTTCTTTGTAAAAATTTCTTTGTGCAATTTTTTTCCCAAATGGAAACATAAGTTGTTAACATTATTAACAAAAGCATACAAAACAAAACAAAAATCTTATGAAAAAACATGCAGCCTGTAAACAGAATTGCAAAGGAAAAATGTAAATGGCATAAAATAAACTAGTTTGAAAGTCTTGTTAATTCCATATTACACATCAAACACTTTGTTTCATTAACTGCAGCTACACAGTCAGGCCAGATGTCTGGTGAAGGAAAAGCTGGTCCCCCGGGAGGCAGTTCACGGGCAACTTTTCCTCCAAGTAATAGAGGGAGGGGCCGTTTTCCAGGTGCCCTTCCTGGAGGGGACAGATTTCCGGGACCAGCTGGACCCGGAGGGCCCCCTCCACCTTTTCCAGGTAAAGTGCTTCCCGCTGTTGTATATTTTGCAAAGTTTTGTTATCCTGCAGATGGAGGAGCCTTGAGGCTTTTTATTTTGTTTCTGGAATTTAGGAGTATTTCAGAATGTATTATTGAAATATTAGGAGTATTTCAGAATGTAAGTATTATGATGTATTATGTATTAAATAAAAGCTTAGTTACAGTATAATGTAGCTTTGCAGTAAATAGCAGAAATGTAAAGTATTGTACTTTTTGTTGCTGTACTGTGAGCTGATGGTCTCTCTTCTGTTAAAATACAGAAATTCTGCTTTTTCCTTTGAGGAGGTAGTCAGTTTAGAATAGAAAGAAATTCCTTTTGAAGCTTCCTAAGCTGTTAGAAGGTTTTCTAAATTGTTTTTTTTAAATAAAACGAATAACAACACAATACAGGTAGTTCTTGCTTAATGACCATTTGTTTAATGATAGTTCGAAGTTCCGACAACCTTGGAAAAAGTGCTTTATGATCTGTACTCACACTTAGGACCATTGCATACTGTTGCACTACTCCTGCGGTCATGTGATCGTGATTTGTGACCTTTTGTACAACGGTTGTTAAGCAAATCACCACAGTCGTTAAGTGGATCACATGGTTAACTGAATTCTGGCAAAAACATCCATTGGGAAGCTGGATTCGCTTAATGACCACAATTCACTTAACGACATTGTAAAAATGGTCGTAAAATTGGGTCCAGTCATGTGGTGACTCGCTTAACAGCCACCCTGCTTACCAACCAATTTTCCGTTCTCTATTGTGGTCGTTAAGCAAGGACTATCTGTAATAATTTATTAAATATATATGCCATCTGATTCCCAGCAACTCTGGACAGTATGGTATGGTAGCTTTAATTTATAAGGCTTCTCGCATATGAATGGTCATTTTCATTTTCATTTTACTTTGACAGTATGCTTATTGTATATTGTTCTGTTCATACTTAACTTTCCTTTTGAGCCTATTCTCAAAATGAGACCCTTTTAAATAAAAGAGACATAGGAAGAAGGCTGCTTTGAATACTCTTTTGTGGGATACAAACAGCAAATTAAATGACATTAAAATGATTACTATTATTTTTATTTCAATCTTTATCCTTCCTTTTGCCTAGAAAGGGCAGAACTAGAATTTGATAGCTATTTGGATTTTTTAATGTATACATTATAAATACATGAGATGCCATACTTATTGCAAATGTTTGGATATGTTTGGAGAAAACATGGGCAGTAGAATATTAATAATAGACATTTTTTCCCTCCCTCTTTAGCTGGACAAACTCCTCCACGTCCACCTCTAGGTCCTCCTGGCCCACCAGGCCCGCCGGGTCCTCCTCCACCTGGGCAGGTTCTGCCTCCTCCACTAACTGGTCCTCCTAATCGTGGTGACCGTCCCCCTCCCCCAGTTCTGTTTCCAGGACAGCCCTTTGGCCAACCTCCATTGGGTCCACTTCCACCCGGTCCTCCGCCTCCAGTTCCAGGCTATGGTCCTCCACCAGGTCCTCCACCCCCACAGCAAGGTCCTCCTCCACCTCCAGGTCCTTTCCCCCCTCGTCCACCTGGTCCCTTAGGACCACCCCTTACATTGGCTCCTCCTCCTCACTTACCTGGGCCGCCACCAGGTGCTCCCCCTCCTGCCCCACACGTGAATCCAGCTTTCTTCCCCCCACCAGCCAACAGTGGCATACCTACATCAGACAGTCGTGGTCCACCACCTTCAGACCCATATGGCCGACCTCCACCATATGACAGAGGTGATTATGGGCCACCAGGCAGGTGAGTATTTCTTTTGCACTGATAGCATATTTAATTTATGAGAATTCTAGAATTTATGCCCATTCATTTTGGTCACGGGATATTCAATATCTGAGGTTGTCATTAAAACAGTATTTTCCTATTTTTAACACACACACCCTTCCCCATGAATATCTGTATGACTTCTGGACCTCCAATGTTCTTCTGTTCCAGAGAAGAGCATGAAGAAATCCTCATATGCTGCAGTGCGCATATAGCCTCTAGAGTTCATTACAGTGGGGAACTAATCTGTCATTTTGCATTAGAAAGTGATATAAAAACAAAATATGTTTTACATCCTAAAACAGCATATCAGGGAAACACTGCTAAAACAAATTTGAAGATCATAGTTGCAAAAGCAAGTGTATGTAGCTCACCCTTACTTTAACTGAGCAGATGCTGTCCCTCCTTCACAGTATTTGCTTCCTAGAGGTGTTGTGATGCCCACCTAAGAAGGGAGTGTACCACACAGTTGCATTAAAATGATACTTAGGTCTTTTGTCTTTCATTCATTTAATACTTGTTTGTTTTTGTCCTTTATGTATTGTATGTAAACCTTTTAAAGAATATATTATGAATATTATTTTTAAAGAGATATCATGTTATGTCTCCCTTGCCTTTTGTAGGTATGCATTTAACTTTTAATATCCTTTTAATGACTCCGTCACTCACAAAAACAGCTAATCCAGTGTTATGCAGGGAGACTTAAACTTGCATAACAGACATGGCTTTTGCTTTCTTCTGCCTCTTATACACACGTACCCAATCTGCTCTGGAAAGTTAAAATTCATTATTCTGGTGGATGCAGTTCTCTCAGTGGCATGACAGCATATAATACAATTCAACATCTACTTTCTTAAGGTTTAAGTGATAGAGTTATGCTGGATTTGAAGGGACAAAGGTGCTTTGGAGCCTATGTGGATAGTATTGCTCTGCAATTGCAGAGGGCAACCATACAGTCCTGCGGAAAGAAGTAGCTGTTTTAAGGAGTTATCAGAAAGTGCTATATTAGTGCACTTGTGTCTGCTAAAGCACTTTTTCCTTTCAGATCTGAAACACTATATAGCCCTACTAAGTGGACAGAATTTGAATAGGCTTCTAATAGAACCTCTGTGGATTGTCTTAGTTTTTCTTTTCAGTCTGGTTTACCTGCATATAAGGGACCTTCATTTGCAATACCTATTATGCAGAATAACCAGGTATTCTGATAGATTCAGAGAACCTTTTCAGGTGGCAGATTATATGGGGAACCATCCATTACAAAATAAAAGACTACCACAGGCATATTGTAATGTATTTGAACAGTCCCTAATCAGCATTCAGCATATGAATATCTACAATGACTTTACATGATTGCCACACCAGTCCGTACTTCAGTTTTTAAAATCCACTTGTTTTCTAGCTTCATTTGAAAACATGCTGTAGGCTTATATTTTTTCTTTCTACTTTTCCTTTGATGCTATTTATACTATGTGAATGTTATAATCACCTCTCAAAATTTTATAGATTGTGATACATAATAGTCTTTGCATGTTGTGAGTATATCAATGAGGCTTTGTGGGCATGATGATTTGTTAAATAAGTAGCATAGCTTTTGCTGAAACATTGATTCCAGTAGTATTAATTTATTCATGGAATTAACATCTAAAATTTTAAAATATAAAATGTTATAAAGCATATTTCTATGAAGTCAAAGCATTATTCGTAATTGCTTGAAAGAATATGCAAAGAACCCAATAATAATAATAGATTTATATTTTTATATAGAGATAGTAATTTAATAAACAAAGGAGGGCTGAGGGTGGTGAAAGCAGAAGTAGAACCTCTGCACATAATGACCAATATTTTCATGATGATCTCAACTACAATCCATAACTATATTTAAATTGTCAATTATATATCATAGGCGTTTCACTGGAAATAACATGTCCATAAGAGAACAATTACATATGCCATTGTATTGGAGACAAACGAAAAATAATACTCAAAACGCAGGGAGGTATGAATTTTTAGACATTTCCTCTTATGCTAAATCAGCTATAGGATCTTGATCCACTTCTTGCTCTTAAGAGGATAGAATTGCTTATTCTGCATTTTCTTTCTACCAGAAGAACTAACATTTGCAAGAGACATTTCTCAAAAGCAATTAAAGCCATATAATTTACAGTGCTGGAAGGAATATGAAGAACATATAGTCTAACATCACATCCTAAGGCATGATCTCCTTTCTGAGTGTCTCAGTGAAATGACATGATTTTGATTAATATTTGGTACTAGCTGAGGGGAGGAGGAAACTGGTTATTACATCTTGGGTGTAGCAGAGGTGCCTGTAGGAGGAAAAAGGGCACTCTGTTTATATTGTCAGTCTTCCTCAGATCTTAAGGTAGATTGACAGATATCACAAAGTTCAAGGGGCACTAGCAGAGTAAGTTAACATTTTCTATCTCCAATTTTAGTTAAGTAATTAGCCAAGTGTGCAGCCAGCATATCACCTTGCTTATGTTAAGTATACTGTATCATTACAGAACATAGAGTATTCTTAATGCTTGGCACAATTTACTCATTATGTTTCTTATAACAAAAACAATTAGTGTATGCATTGAGGCCATATTTGTTTGATATCTTGTTGATTGGGGCAAACTTCAGTTCTGTACCTGAATGATCATACATTGATTGACAGAAGTTTTATAAGCAT